TTGTGCGGTGTAAGATACAATATTATATAAAACGAGGCTTGTTTGTTGCAATTATCAAATAGATATAGTAATTTGCAGATACAGAAGGATTTGTGATACCAAGCCTGACTGTTGGAGACTCTGGTCTTAGTGATTGGGATGACCCAAATTTAAAAGATCTCAAGCCTCCTTCAAAGGTTCTTCTTTACGAAGCAACTTTTCTCTGTAAGTTTCACATTTTACTCCCACTTTCTGCACAGAAACTAAACCATGATATTCCACTGCCTCCAAAAACAGGGTGTCAAGGCAGAGGAAAAGATCTACCTGGGACCACACGGTGCTCCTCCTTCGCAAGTTAAACATCAAGATCTGAATGCGGCAGGGCGCAAGCAGAGATTCAAGCAGAAACTGAAGGAAGCTGACCATAAATATTCCGGAACAGGTCGCGAGAACAAGGTTCAAACTATACGGGAGCTTGTAGGTGGTAAGGTCAGCAGCAACACAATGCCGAAGAATTCTCCACGTGAATGGCTCGATCCACATTGCCATGAATCTCATTTTGAGAGGTACTCCCACTGAGTGTTTTAGTTTCTGAGGATTAATTGAATATTTCTTGACCATTTCTGCTCACATAGTTTGCTAAATTATCTGCATGTTTTCCAACTATAAAACCTGGATATTTTCTATGCGTTCTGTCTGCTGGTACTTTATCAATGCTTTCAAGCCTTTGACCTTAAGTACTCTGAAGCTTCTTCTTGTCGATGCATTGTATGTGCTGTAGACTAGGATTATTGCTTGCACTTGGACTAATTACATCAATTATGCGTAGAGAGCTACGTGATTTCCCTAATAGAATGCCATTTTTATTTTTGCTTTGGTGACGGGCTAAAACAAGTACCGGCCAGATACATTCTTGTTAGTTGCCATGTTTGTCGGCCAGATGCTTGTTAGTGCGTCTTAGCAGACATTCAAATTTATTGTTCACGTACCCCCTTTATTTAAACTTGATGGTTCCTTAGAAAAAATGAAAATATAAAGAAGCAACATTGATGATAATATAATAGTTGCTTATTAGAAATGACAGATTTTTGAAATCATGAATACAATATGTTGGATTGAATTATGAAAAACTCGAAGGAAAGATGCAAATGAAATAATTAGAAATTAAAAAAAAA